TGGAGTTAGTGGGTGGGGGTTCCCCTGGGAGGGGAGACCCAGCATGTGTGGGGACTGCCAGGGGACAGCACCCAGGGCAAGGGGCACCAGGGTCCTGGGAAGGACACAGGAGCTAGTAGGAGGACAAGGTGGATCACTGGCCTGCAGAGGGTGCTATGAGCTGGACAGAGCTAATTCCCTGGAGTAACCAACAGGAGGCGCCACAGGGGTGAGTCTGACCCCTTACAGGCCCCCAATCTTGGTCATGGTCTGTGCAACAATTGGTATAACAGGAGTCCCTGATCTCAGTCGGGTTTTCTTCAGGATCCAGGAGGACCCCAGTCTTGCACCAAAATTCAGTCTGGGCCCTACTAGAATGCAAATAAATAACAAAACTGAGAGACAAGGACCTGGATTTTATTGCAGAACTTAAAGATGGTGCTGCTAGGAGCACAGTGCCCCTAGCACCACTCTGGGACATTGGGGGCCTGCAGTGAGGGGAGAGTTCCCCCCTGCTGAGCTCCCCATCCCGCTTTCTGCAACACCATTCCCTTTAGTCATCTGGGGCACTGGGGACAGCACTGACTCACTAATCCCTGTAGGGACGGCTCCAGCCCTGGATGGCTCATTCCCAGCCATGCTCCCTATGATTATAGCCTTGTTTACATCCCTGCCTTGGAGCCCAGCCAGGCAGAGGGGGAGAAGGGATTCCTCTGCTCTGCACTCCTTCCTCTGATTCCTAGAACTTCCCGTCTCTTGGCAGGACAGGGGGTTCCTGACCCATCCCGTCCCTCGGTGCCCAGCTGCAGAATTTGAGGGGAAGAGATGGTGGGGAGCAGGGCATGGCCTCCCCTAAATTCACCCCTCTTTCTTGCACTCTATGGGTCATTTAAACGTGGTTTGGGGCTCTGCATTTTCCTGGATCTGGGTTGGGAGTGTGAACTGTGTGTGGAGGGGGGAATCCATCTGGGCCAGAGGAGAGGGACATGACTTAGGGCTGGTGGAAGGGACCAGGGCTGGAGGTGGACCTGGAGGTCTGAGGCTGGGTTATTGTGAGTCTAGGTGGGGTTCTGGGTTGGGAAAGGCCTAGGCTGGGCAGGGGAAATTGGGGGAGTTAGGCTGGAGGGGGAGTAGAACCTAGGCTCTGGGAGAAAAAGGCTGAGCAGGTCGGGTGTAGGGAATTCTCCCTGTGTCTCTCCAGTATGGCACAGAAAGGACACTCCAGCTGCAAAACATGCTACAACAACAAACAGCTGAGCCCCTCCCCTCCCCTTGAACTGGCCTGGCAGGAGCCCAGGGCTGGGACTGGCCTCATTAATAACCCCAGACAGCTCCTGTTCCAGCAGCAGCAACAACAACTGGGGAAGGCTTCTGCCAGGAGCACACACGGTCTGTGGGATAAACAGGGTCGGAGGAGAGGCAATAGATTTAGGTGGAGAGAGGGTCCGTGGAGGAGACTGGGGGCTGGTGAGGGGAAGGCTGGGGATTGATGGGAGTACTGGTGGGCGAAGAGGGACATGGGGGTCAATGGGGCTGGAGGGGTGATGGGGGCTAGACACTGTAGGCTCGGGGGACTGATGGGGGTGCTATCAGCAAGGGCTGCCAGGGATGATGGGGGACACCACAGGCTGGGTGATCGGGGATACTGGGAGTGGAACAGTGGAGATCACTGGTGGCTGGGATGGGCAGTAGGGGTCACTGAGGGCTGGATGTATGGGGGAACTGGGGATCAGTGGACACTGGAGTATTCTGGAGCTGGGCAGTAGAAGCTGGAGCGCTGGGAATAAGGGGAGTGTGGGGGTGTGTGCAGCTGAACAGACTCTAGTCATTCAGGCTGAAACCCCCAGGTTAGGGCAGGACCCATAAGAGTCTCCCATAACCCCAAGATGAGGGTTCTGCAGCCCTGACTCCCTGAGGAAATGCAGTGTGTCAGGGGGATGTATCCCCTTCACTTCGTCTAAGCAGGGCAGCTCCTCTCAGGGCTGAGGTCAGCAGAGCTGGGGCTTCCATGGAGCCTGCTTCTTCTGCCCCAGCCCAGAGACCCACGCAGGGAAGGTGCCCCCTCAGCTCTGCCTGTGGCCCCCAGGCCTGGCCCCTTAGGAAATGACATCCAATCCTGATGCTGCCCCACAGTACAACCGTGGCACCAGTTGCATGGGAGTGCCCCTTTCTCAGTCATCGCAGGCCCAGGGAGCAGCACTAGGATGCCGAAACAAAGATGACTGCCAGGCAAGGGGTGATGGCTGTCGGGGTGATAACACAGAGATGACTGCCAAGAGGTGGTACAATGATGGCTGCCAGGGAGGATGAGGGCTGCTGATAGGGGAGACACAAAGATGGCTGCCTGACAGGATGCAATGGCTATTGGGGGGTGGGTGGAAACACAAAAATGGCTGCCAAGGCGGGAATGGTACAAAGAGGCTGCTGGCAGCCATTTTGTGTAATTCTTCTCCCAAGATGGCTGAACTGGAATCCCAGGACTCTGCTAGGGCCCAGACTTTTCCTAGGGCTGTGAATTCTTCTCCCATTCCTGGCGCCACCCTGACTGGCTGGCAACATGGGGCAAGAAGCATGTGGGATCCATTTGTGGCTCTGGAGCAGCATCTTGGCGCCTGCTGTTTTCCTCCCTGTCCCTCCCACGCCCTCGGCTTTAGGAGGATTCAAGCCCTAGCATGACAATGTGGGAGCCTTCCCCAGGTTTTGACTGTGTGTGTGTGTTGGGGCGGGAGGGGAGAACTGGAGGTGTATGCACATGGCAGGACAAGGGGCATAGGTAGTAGTGGGGGGGGGGGGGGAAGGGGGCCCGCAAGGAGTAAGTATGTGTGTACAGCATGGAGGAGGCCAGGGGTGCACACAGAGTGGCAGGATCAAGGGTGTGTGTGCACAGTGTGGGAGATGTTGGAGGGCACATACAGCATGGAGGAAGCCAGGTAGCACATAGTGTGGCAGAAAAAGGGGTCCCACAGAGTGGGTTGAGGCCAGGGGGCACATAGTGTGGGGTAAATGAGGGGCTATATACGCAGTGTGTGGAGGCTGAGGGGCACTGAGAGAGGCAGGGGGCTGGTCAGGTCAGGGGGATTGCCCATGGAAGGAGGTGGATGAATTGGTCTCTGGTTACAGCTTGTGTGACTGGCACTTGTTTACAGCCCTTGCCTGGCCGTAGGCCACCTTTGGTAGGCGTGGCTCCTGGTCTGTTCTGCTGAGTCAGACATTGCTGCTTACTGTGGCAAAGCTGGAGCTCCAGGTGTGTGGGGATCAGCACCTCAGCTCTGGCACTGGGGCTCAAACCTCCCCCTATCCCTGTTCCACCCCTCTGGGGCAAATTCAGTGCTAGAGTGGGGGGTAGTTCGGTGCCAGCTGCCATATACAGAGACCTCTGGGTGCCCAGCACAGAGTAGTGGCCCCACTAACACCCCTGCCCCTTTCTATGGGGAGACAAGGGCACTCTGTCTTCATGGTCAGATCAGCCCCAGAAGCCCTGCCCATTAGTGCCATTCAGATGCAACTGACAACTAGACTCCATGTAGAGGGTGGGGGGTGTTCCAGGACCAGGAGGCAGTTGAGAGTGTTTACTGGTGGGTGGGAAGCCCACAGGTAAGAGCAGATCTGTATATAACCTTTTGTGGTGTTAGCTGGGTGGGGGTAGGCTTAGCTGGGGGGGCACTGGGAGGTTAGCGGGGAGCACTAGGGGTCACTGGCTCCTGGGAGGTTACTTGGGGAGGAGGCTTGATTAGCCTGGGGGAGGAATAAAGGAGTGCATCTCCCCCAGATTGCCTTCCCCATCCCCCCCTTAGCCAGGGTTGGGGTGGGGGAGTTGGTCACATATTCTCAACAGCACATGATGGGGCCATTCAGAGCTTGAGGCTTCCCAGGAGGGTCAGAAAACAAGAGGGGCTGTTGCAGCCCCTTCAAGAAGCCCATAGGGCCCTCTCTGCTATGTGTAGGGAGCCGGCTCGGTTGTGTGGGGCTGGGTCCACGGCAGCGGTTTCCCATCACGTGACAGAACTGAAACAGGGAACAATCAAGTGTTTCTTGTGATTGCCAGGGCCGGAGGGAAGCAGCTGGATTTCCAGCCTTTGATTGTGGCTTCCCCCCACTGTGTTCCCAGACTCTGATCCCAGTCCCCACCACTTCCTAGCCTTTGATCTATCCTTCCCCCTTAGGGTTCCCAACTGTGATCCCTCCCCTGCTCCTCGGGTTCCTGGCCTTTGATGTATAAGGTTCCCAGACACTGATCTCTGTCCCCTTCCCATCCCTGTGAGACAGGGTTCTTTCTCAGCAAGAAGGCTTGGCTCCAAGGGACAGACTAAGTCAAGAGTAGATATGGAAACCGAGGCACACTGAAGGAAAAGGACTTGTCCAGCCACATACAGTGAGTCAGTGTAGCTGGGATTTGACCCCCCAGAATCCTGCCTCCACTCCCCTGCTCTAACCACTAGATACCACTCCTGCCAGAGTTGTGGATAGAATAGGGTGACCAGACAGCAAGTGTGAAAAATCAGGACAGGGGGTGGGGGGTAATAGGAGCCTATAGAAGAAAAAGACCCAAAAATCGGGACTGTCCCTATAATATCAGGACATCTGGTCACCCTAAGATAGAATGCTGGTGGTAAAGTGGTGTCCTGACACCCAGCCCCCCCGCTTTAACCATTAGACACCCCCATGAGCCTATTCTCTTCAAGGCAAGTTACACACACCCCCATATGGAGCTATCCAGGCCCGATCATTCTGTTTATCCCCAGTTGGAAACTTTTCCATTCTTATCTCACCCCCAAACTTTCCATGGAGTGGCAACCTCTCGTTGTCATCTCCTCTGAAATCTAGGGCCTTGTAGCAGGTACAGACCCCTCACCCCTTGGGGCACTGCTCTCTCCACAGCCCTCAATTGCCCATAGTCCCTCTCCCCCCAGCTCTGCAACAAGCAGGATCCTCTCCATTTCTCCAAGCCGTAGATCACGGTAACACGGAGTAATTAGCTGTCTCCACCTTAAGGCGGGCGGGGGGCGGATGTGGGAGGCGGAGTCGGAGGCGGGTCGGGATATATCAGTGCCGGCGGAGGCGGAGCGCCAGTCTCACAGTCAGAGGAAACAAGCAGGTCTGCTAGGTATGATCCGACGCGGTGGGCCGGGCGCGTGGGAACGGCGTGATCTAGCGCCGCGCCCTAGGCGCATGGGCTGGGTACCTACCAGCGCGCACAGGTCTGTGGGGAGGCGGCGAGCAGGGGGGCACGAGGTGAGAAGGCAACATAGCTGCGGCTGAATCCCGCGACTGGCCTAGGAAAGGGGGCTCAGGCAGGTGAGGGGGGAGTCTCTGTCTTTGGCGGAGAAATTTCTCTGCCTGCTGGGAGGGCTGTGTGCCAAGGTCAGGGGAGCTTTGCTCAGGGGCCAGGTGGTGGAGAGTGCTCTGCCCGGGGCACATGGCTCTGCCTCTCTCCCCTCACTGCAGGCCCTAGCGATACCCGGTGGTATCTAGCCAGGCATCATGAGCCAGGACGCAGAGGTGGACATGAAGGAGGTGGAGTTGAACGAGATGGAGCCCGAGAAGCAGCCCATGACGGGCTCCCCCTCCTCGGGATCCCCGGGCACCCTGGGCGAGAAGAACGGGATGGTGAAGGTGAAGGTGCCCGAGGAGGATGGCGAGGCGGATGCTGGCACCAAGTTCACGGGGCTGTCCAAGGAGGAGCTGCTGCAGGTAGCGGGCACTCCAGGGTGGGTGCGCACCCGCTGGGCCCTGCTCATCCTCTTCTGGCTGGGTTGGCTGGGCATGCTGGCGGGGGCCATCGTCATCATCATCCAGGCTCCCCGCTGCAAGGAGCTGCCTCCCCAGGAGTGGTGGCACAAGGGGGGCATTTACCGCATCCAGGCACTGGAGGCCTTCCAGGACTCGGATGCCGATGGAATCGGGGACTTAGCAGGTGAGTCCTGATTCTCAGCCCCCCAACACACTAGACCTCACTCCCCTTTAAGCTGGGGATAGAACCGAGGAGTCCTGACCATCCCCCACCCCCATAACCCAGTAGACCCCACTTCTTTCCCAGAGCTGTGGATTAAACCAGGAGGGGGTTGGGATGGGATGACCCTGGTGTGCGGGGAGAAGAGGTGTTATGGGTGGGAAAGGAGAGAGGAGGTAGCTGCTGAGGGGTGGCAGGAACCCCGGGTGAACATTGGGATTTGGTTGCCTTCTTGGCACAAACTGGAGCCCAGGTGCTGCTGGGGTGACCCCCTCCCCCAGTTCTCCCTATCTGAGGGGGCTTATGGGGGTGGGAACGCTTCCCCCCACCCACCCCTATGTCCCATACAATCTGTCCCCCACGTGCTCCTTGCGCCAGCAGGTGACTGGCAGCCGGCGGCTGGCTGCCTGCCGCGCCTGGGAGGGGTGAGGGTGGGTTGGAGTTGCTCCCAGCCGGTTCTGTCCGGTTGGCAGCAGCAACCAGTAGCCTTTGTTTCATCAGCTTTGACGTCAGCCCAGCCTGAGCTGACTCAGCTGTTCGGCGGGGGGGGGGGGGGGGAGGTGGGGGTAAGGGCCCCAACAATCGGGGGGGGGGGGGGGGGGGGGAGGGAGCTGGGGTTAAAGGTCCCACCATGGGGAGATGGGGTGGGGAGCCGCTGGGGTTAAAGGTCCCATAATGCACGGAGGCAAATGTGAACTGGGGGGATTGGCTGGGTTAAAGGTTTCTTTCTGGGTTGGGGAGGAAAGGGGATTGGGGGAGTATGCTTCACCTGACGGGGAGGGGTAATGTGGGCAAGATGCAGGGGCTATAGGGACAGCTTTTACCTGGGATGGGGAGGGGATTATGTGGGACTGGGGGAGCTGCCAACCTCTGATCCTTGTTCGCTCTCCCCCCAGGGGTGGAGCAGCGCATCGATTACCTGAGCTCCCTGAAGGTGAAGGGGCTGGTAATTGGGCCCATACATGTTAACACCCCTGACAACCTGGTCAGCTCGGACCTGCAGGAAGTGGACCCCCAGCTCGGCACCAAGGAGACCTTTGCCAAGCTGTTGGAGGCTGCCAAGAAGAAGAGTAAGAAAATGTCCCAGTATGGGGTCTTTTCCCCTGGGGGTGCTGGATCTGATCTGGCCCCAGGATGGGTGGTGGGGAATGGGATATGGGGTGTTTGCGGAGGGGAGCTCTCCCTGCCCCAGGATGTACACCTGACCTCCCTTTCTCCCTAGGTCTCAAGGTCATCCTGGACCTGACCCCCAATTACCGTGGACAGATGCCCTGGTTCAGCCAGGAGACCCCCCGCAACAGTGATTTCCAGTCTAAAATGAAGGTGAGGGGGGGCTCCAATGGGGGGCATCCTGAGGAGCAGCACCTGAGGAGAGCTGGCAATCTAACCTGAAGGCTATGTTCTGGGGAAGAGGGTGTCCTGCTCTCTCTCAGATCCTCCCCAGGGCTCTGTGAGGGCCTGGTTTGCCACGTCCCCTGAATCCTCACTATTTTTGGGAAAGCAGCTGGGACCACTGTTTGGGTTTCTCATGCAGGGGGGCTAGGGGTATGGAGACCTGGAGGGAGGAGGTGTTGGCTACACTGGAGTTGGGGGCTGGGGACTGTCAGTTGGTGGGAGGATGCAGGGCTGGTGGCTGTGGGGCATGCCAGATGCTGATGCTTGACACACACTCTCTGGGCAGGCTGCACTGGAGTTCTGGCTGGAGTTTGGCGTGGCAGGGATCCAGATGGAGGGAGTGGAGAAGCTCAATGTAAGTGACTGGCTTGTCTATGTGTTGGGGGTGAGGGTTGTGGAGTATTGGGGTGGGAGGTAATGTGAGGAGTGACTGTCTGTCTCACAGGTCTTTTTCTCCTCCAGGACTCCCAGCTTCTGGTGGAGTGGAAGAACCTCACCAGCCAGTACAGTTCTGATGGCAATGCCAGGTGGGTGCCAAGCCCCCACCAAATGGTTCTGGCCCTTTTGCGGTGGTGGTTGACTGGCTGCACCCCTGGGATGCCAGCCCTCTTGAATATGCCCACCTTCCAAGCTCCCTCCCTTGGATGCCTCTCTCCTCTCCTGGTGCCAACCCCCTCTCAAGCACACATAGCTCCCCCATGTCCCCCCATCCTCTAGAAAATACCTCTCCATCTTCAGACTCTGCACCCTGCCCCACCCCAGCCTCCCACACCCTCCTTCCCATTCCTAGCACCTCACAGCTGACCCCGGCGCTCACTGTACCCTGACTCCCTTCTCCCCAGGGTGCTGATCGCTGGGACAGGCCAACGAGATTCCTGGCAGATCTTCTCCTTGCTGAACGAGACCAGCGCTGACCTCCTGGTCAGCCCGTATCTGATGGGGCTGGGGGAAGAGCCCACTGGGGAGAAGGTGGAAAACGCGATCAGAGAGTACATCCAGGCTTCAGGAGAGAAGTGGCCCAGCTGGAGTGTGAGTGCTGCCCTCCCGCCCACTCTGTTTCCCCAGCTCTTGGAATTGGGTGAGGGGGCTGGGGCATGGACCCACCTTCACCCCACCCCTGCCCCACCGGATCCCCATGCTAAGCCCCCCCATCTGTATCATCGCTCCCAGTGCTCAGAGTGGGCTCCCTTTTGGAGACAGGGCAGGAGCTGAGCCCCAACAGATGTGTGCCATAAAGCATATGGGTCTGTTCTGTGTGGGCTGCTCAAGAAGGATAGGCGGGGGATGTGACCACTAGCCCCCCATCCCCTCCCAGACCTGGGGATACGTCCACCTCCCACCCCCTGTGCTGACACTGCATCTCTGCTGTCTCTTCAGGTGGGGGGCCCAAGGACAGGGCACATGGCCTCTCTTGTGAAGGAGCGGTTGCTGCGGCTCTATCACATGCTACTTTTCACGCTGCCAGGGACACCCTTCACCAACTACGGGGATGAAATCGGGCTGCAGGAGCAGCCAGGACAGGTAGGGGCAGTGTGGGGCTAGGGGATCCCTCTGGAGGAGGTGTGGGGGGGGAGGCCTGGGAGAGTTAGTTAAGGTGATGGGGTGGGGTGGGGGGCAGTGAAGTCCCGGAAGGTGCTGGCAGGTGGGGAATGTCAGGGCAGGGGGAAGGGCAGTGCAGAGGGGGGAGGGGATGGGGAAGTTTGTTCAGCTCCTGGGTGGGGAAGGGGTGTCTGGGGAAAGGATGGGCTGGGTTGGTGCAAGAAGGATGGGCAGCCAGCTGTGCAACTCCCTGTAACCATGTCCGTCACTTCCCCAGTCCGGCGTACCCCACATGCAGTGGAATGATTCGGCCAACTTTGGCTTCTCCTCAAAGTCATTGCCTCAAGGTGGGGGCAGCAGCAGCAGCAACATCACTGTGAAGGTGAGGGCAGGGGTACAGGCAGAGCTTAGGGGAGGAACATGGGTGGTGAGGTGAGGGTGGGCTTAGATGGGGGCAGAGCTCTGGGGGAGCTCAAGGGGTATGGTTTGCCTCGCACTAACCCAGCATTTCTCAAATTCTGCCACTGTGGCCACCAGGGGCTTTTCTTATGGCCACAGACTTCTGGGCAGAGGTGGTGGTGGTTGGGGCAGGGGGGCAGACAAAGCAGTAACTCCTCCTCTGGGGCCACCAGCAGCGTTTGGGCCCTACCCCCCTCTGAGGACACAGTGGCTGCCTGCTCCTCCAGCATTTGAGTTCCCCACCTTCTGGAGATGGAGAAGGTCTGGCTTCAGCCCTGGGGTAGCAGGCAACTGGCTCCAGCTGCGCAGCAGTTGGCTCTGTCCTCTGGCTGCAGGGCCTCAAGCTCCAGCCATGGGAGGCAGGGCTTTGGTCTCCGTCCATGGGACACTCTCCTTCCTTCCTTCCTTCCTTCCTTCCTCCCTCCCCCCCAGCCCCGTGCTTGTCACCCACCCCCATTTCCCTGGCCCCCCGGCTGAGCAGCGATAGGCTCTGTCCCCCACTGCTTCCCCCGGCCCCTATCCAGGGCTTAATTTGTTCTTGGGCTTGCTGGGAGCTGAGTAAGTCTTCTGTGAAAAATGATATCTGTATGTTTGTTAATATCACTTTTCACAGCAGACTTAGCAGCTAGCTTGGAGGCTGTGAAAAGGGATATTGACATACAAGTATCACTTTTCACAGCAGTAGACTTGCTAGCTAGGCAACCAAAAGAAAGAACAATAAAGACAAGAATGTGCCAAACACCTTATTTGTGTTTCTATTTTGTTTAGGTTTAGTAAAGCATAGACACAACTGAACATTATTTGTATTTTTGAGTCTGCAAAAACACCCTACATAGACATGTCCAAATCACTGTCATTTGTTTGCATGCATATGTATTTGTTTTTCCTAAAGTTAATTACATGTTTTAGGAAAAATAGACAGAGCATCCACCTGCAAGAGTGGGTGGCTTCTCTCTGAGGTCATCAAAATGTTGTTGTGAGAACTCCTGCACTAACCCCATGTCTCCCTCCCCAGGCACAGAGTGAGGACCGCTCCTCACTGCTCTCCTTGTTCCGGCACCTGAGCGAGCTGCGGGGCAAGGAGCGCTCGCTGTTGCATGGGGAATTCATGATGCTGCCCATGCTGGTGCCGGATGTCTGTGTCTACCTGCGCAGCTGGGACCAGAACAAACGCTTCCTGGTGGTCCTCAACTTAGCTGGCACCCGCAGCTCTGTCCCCATCTCCCACTCTCTCCTGCCTTCTGAGGCCACTGTGGAGCTCAGCACTGACCCCCAGCGCCAGGAGGGGCAGCTGGCCCTGCAGAACCTGACATTGGAGCCCTCTGAGGGGTTGCTGCTGCATTTCCCCTATGTAGCCTAGGGGAGGAGGCCTCCCCTGCGGGCCAGGGCCTTCCGTGTTCCAGGGAGGGGTTTTATTCATGTGAGTCCTACTAACACCCCCAGGGGCAGCACTGAGGCCTTGGGGCAGGAGGAGGGAGCTGCAGCCATAAGGTAAAGAAGGCCCCTAGGTTCTGCTCTCCCGAGTCCTGGATGTCTGTCCTGATACAGCCCACAGGGCTGGCGGGGGGGGTGGGGTGGGGAGCTGGTGCTCAGTGTGCCCCAATTCCTGCTAGCCTCACTTTGGCACCATCCTCAGGGATGCTATGGGAGCTCTGAGCTGGGGTGAGGACTGGGCTCTGACATCTGTTTCCCCATGGTGGGGCAGCAACTAGATTTAGGGACCAAAGGCTTCAGGCCCCACTGGCTGCAGCTTCACCCTCCCCCAAAGTCATTCCAGCTCCTGAGGGGCTGGCCCTGCCCTGCTGTCATCCCCCCACTTGGGGTCACCCCCTCCTTTGGGATAGGTGGGGATGACTGATCAGGACCAACAGTCTGTCTCTGTCTCTCCTCCTCTTCCTCTCTCCCCCCCCTCCCCATGGCCAGTGCTGTGTGTGAAGTGGGGCTGATGTTTGGGTGGGGGGATGGATGGCTTTGTGCTGGGCTCCTTCTGAGTGCTGCTGGGATCAGCATGGAAATAATAAAAGGCTCTGCTTAGTGATTCTGGCTTGTCTCTTCCTTTAGTGTGGCCCTGGCATTTGCCCCCTATGCTTCAAGTGCCCCACCGCCTCCTTGTTTTCCCTGTGGCTGCTTCATGCCTTAAGGGGGGAGAGGGGAAAGAGGACCCCTTGCACTTCATCCTCACTGGCTATCTCTTCTACTGCCGCAGGTTCCTACCTGCACTGTGAGGACCCCTTTCCCCCCCTCCTGTGACCACTGAGTAGCCTGGGGGCAGATCTCTGCAATTCATGGGTCTGGATGCTGCCCTGGAGCAATCTGCCTAGCACGGGGCTGGTGCTGTTAGTGGAGACTGGGGTTCCCCCAACCTTGGCTGTGCCCTAAGGGTATGGACCCATCACAGATTGCTCCCTCTGCATTAGGGGAGGAGCAGCTGAGCTGGCAGCCCTAGGTCAGCCCCCCCTGGATGTGAGAAGGGGGTTGATTCCATCTGCAGGGGTTGTGCCAGGCCCCTGGGGTCCTGCCTGGGCAGCTGCCTTTAGGGGAAGGACGGAGGGGTGCATGCTGGGCCCACCTGTGAGGGACCGCCCCCCGCGCAAGGCACTTGGCAGTGGAGCCATTGGCACTGGTGCATGCTGGGAGCTAGTGTTTCAGCGTGGGGAGGCCCCTACTGCTCCCTATGGGCACTTTACACCTTCCCCTTTAACACGCCTACTTCGCCTTTAAATCCACCTGCTCTTCAGTGCCCGTCCTCTTTAACCCACCCTGGCCGCTTACTGTCGGCCGAATGCCGGCCCCGCCGCCGCCCTCCCCTTTAAGCGGTCTCCCTGACGCATTGCAGGTGGGAGCCGGCCAATGGGCTCGGGGCAGGCGGGTCACGTGGCCGTGCCGGGCGGGCGGTATTTAAAGGGCTCGGCGCAAAACGCAACGGAAGGCCACTGCTGGGTCCGGGACTCGTTGCGGGCGGAGGGATCTGGGCGGCGCGGCCCGGGCGGAGGGAGCCTGAGACCACGGGGAACTGAGCGGTCGTAGCACCAGCCCCCCGCCGCCGCCATGGCAAGAAGGGGGGCTCGTGGGGGGCTGGGGCGCTGCTGGGGCTCCCTGGCAGCGGGTGGTGGAGCGAGGGGGTGGGGCTGGGGTCCAGGGGCACGGGGGCGGCGGGGAGCGTGCGCGGAGAGAGCAGTGGGGGGTCGGGAGCCTGGTCCTGAGTGTTGTGGGGGGCGGCAGGTGGCACTGTTGGGGGGAGGGGTCCAGGCCCCAAGACTGGGGCTACTAGGGCCGCTTCCCATTGCCTAGTCGGGAACAAGTAGTTGGGGGGCAGTTGGAGACAGCAGCCATGCTGCGTCTTGCGGGAGATGGGCGGCGTGGGAACTCCAGGGGTGTCTGGGGTGTGGGGCAGAGTCTCTTCCCCTAAGAGATTGGGTGGGAGGGGGGTGAGGCTGTGTTTGGGAGGGAGATGGCCCTGGGGGCAATGGGGTATAGGGCATGGCTGGGGGGAGGGTGTCAGACAGTCAGGGCAATAACTCTCTGTCTCCTCTTGCAGGCAGACCAGCTGACAGAGGAACAGATCGCAGGTGAGACACCCCTTCATCCTGCTGCCCCAAAATTCTCCTTTATATGGGGGAACCTGGTGCTTCACAATATGGTCAGGCCTGGGCCCAGGAGCCTGTTTGCCCAGGGTGCTGAGGGGAGGGAGGGGACTGCAGGGTGAAGGGACCCTGTGGCAGGCCCCCTGGGTACTGATTCCTCTCCTCTCTCCTGGCAGAATTCAAGGAAGCCTTCTCCCTTTTCGACAAGGATGGGGATGGCACCATTACCACCAAGGAGCTGGGTACCGTCATGAGGTCCCTAGGGCAGAACCCCACCGAGGCAGAGTTGCAGGACATGATCAATGAGGTGGACGCTGATGGTGAGAGGGAACTGTGAGATGGGTGGGGAGAGGGAATACAGCCACTGCACTGGCGGCAGTGGGGGTGCGGGGGGGAGTGATCAGAGCTGGGAGGCAGGACTCCTGTGTTCTGTTCTTAGCTATGAGCTCTTTTTCCTTCTCTGTGCCTCAGTTCCCCTTACCACTTTTTGTGTGTTTAGTCTATGAGCTCTGGGCTAGGGACTGAGAGAAAGATTTCTAGGCTGATCAGGGGAATGGAGAGGAGACCGAAAGAGCTGGGTTTGTATAGTTTGGCTAGATGAAGCTTGGAGAGTGGGGGGTGGATCTGATTGTTCTCTGTAAATATAGCAGGGAGGAAACCCCAAGGAGGGTGAAGAGTGAGTTTCTGGAACAACTTCCCAATAGGAGCAAACATTTATATGTTTCTGATTGAGATTTTGACGGGCCTGCCTGCAATAGCAGGGCCTGGACTTGATGTCCCAGGAGGCCACTTCTAGCCCTATGTCCCTGTATGATACACCTAATCCCAACCCCTGGTACTATCCCTCCTCTGCGAGTGCTGCTGTTTACTATCCTGCTCACACAGCTGAAGGTCACTCACGGCTGATCTGAGAATCACCTCATCCTAGGGCCTGTCACTTTTGCATCCCAAAGTGATGCAGGCCCCATGGAGAGCTGCCTGTTCCTGTTCCAGTGTGGGGGTTGTACCTGAGTTAAACCAAGGGGGTTGACCTAAGGTTTGTAGGCCAGTCCCCTGCCCAAACTACAGAGCTCTGGGGTTTGTTTCTAGGCTCCCTACATCTCTTCAGGGGGGGTGAAGAGGAATCCCGTCAAGGCAAACCCACCATTGGAGGAAAGGGGGTGTTTCAGTGAATTCCCCAGAGCTCCCTGCCAGTACTTGGGTGTCTGGATTCGTGGGAGGGAGGGTACTGGATGCTGCGGGGGGGAGTGGCTATGCAGGTCACCCAACCCAATGTCAGTTAGGCCCAGCACTAATGGCCTCTTCCCCTGCCCAAGGGAATGGCACCATTGACTTCCCTGAGTTCCTAACCATGATGGCAAGGAAGATGAAGGATACGGACAGTGAGGAGGAGATCCGTGAGGCCTTCAGGGTGTTTGACAAGGTGAGGCAGGGGGGCTTCATCCCCCTATCCCTGGTGGCTGTGCGTGCACCCCCCCCCCCCTTTTCCCCAGGAGCTCCAAAATAGCAGCTGGGGCTAAACTCCTCCCTGCAGGGACAGCTGAATCCAATACTCCCTCCTGTGTGCATGTGCTTCACAACTGGACACCTCCCCCTTCCACATGGGGTTGGGGGCTGGAGAGTCATCAGCTACCTGAGGTAGATGGTTGTGTGTGTTGGGGGAGGGGGAGAATGCGGTCTACCTGCTTTCCCCTCCCCAGGGCCTGTGCTGAGGCTGACAGGATGGGGTCCCTGTGGTGCTTGTGCTAACTGGGAGCAGCCCTATGGCCCCCTTGCCTGACATGGTGCCTGCCCCCACCCCAGGATGGGAATGGGTACATCAGTGCGGCCGAGCTGCGCCACGTCATGACCAATTTGGGTGAGAAGCTGACAGATGAGGAGGTGGATGAGATGATCCGGGAAGCTGACATCGATGGTGATGGACAGGTCAACTATGAAGGTGAGGGGGGCGGGGCAGCTTGCACTGACTGTCCAAAGGGCACAGCTGCTGCTTAAGATAGTACCACTCTGCAGAGGGCACTTGCTCCCTTAAGGACTCTCCAATGCAGTAGGTAGGATGGGTCTGGGAGTCAGGATGCCTGGGTTCTCTTTCCGGGTCTGCTGCTTTCTGCCTCTTGCATTGTGACAGGCATAGCCTGGTGAAGGGGCTTGGAAATGTCACAAATGCTGTTAACTCCAGGGAATGGGAGACTTAGCAGAGCACCTCTCAAGTGCAGCCTGGGTGGGGGTGGGGGGGGATGGTCTCTGCCTGAGAGAAGGCAGGGGTGGGGTGAATCAGGCTTGTCTCATGCTCTCTGACCCTGTGCCTTTGCTTTGCAGAGTTTGTACAGATGATGACAGCTAAGTAGGCTCTAGTAGGGCATCCCCCTCACCTGTACAGACTGGATGGACTCTTCCTACTGCTGCCACATGTCACTCCTGCCCTGTCCCAGGTGCCATCCTGTCATCAGCAGCTGCTCTCCTTTGAGGACAGTGCATGCTTTCACCTCTTCTGCAATGTGTGCTTGTATGCTGGGCACCACAGGGACAGGAGCCCAGCGGGGCCTATGGCCTGCTTCCCCCAAGTGGTTTGGTGGAGCAGGCCCCTGGCTGCTGGAGGGCTCTGCAAACTGCTTTCCATCTGACAATTCTTCCCCCTCCCTCCCATATTCAGCATCTCACCTGAATGCTCATGGACTGTGGTAGGGCAGCTGACAGTGTCTCTTTGACTGGCCACTGTTGCCTTCCTGGACGTGTCTGCATATGTTGGATATTGTGACTGTTAATTTCTTAACTGCTTAATATTCACCCCCATAATCTCTAATTCCTTTCCTCCCCTCCACCCCAAATCCATATTGGCTTCCAGGGATGCTTCGGTTCCATTCCAGATGATGTAAGGTTTTATTTTCAATAAAGTCTCTGTGTGGTTTCTATTCCAAGTGCTGCCTCAGCATGTTCAGTGCACAACTCCATTGGAGGAGCCCCAGCACCCTGTGGGGCTTGGTGCTATATAGATAAACCAAGCGGGGTGGTGTGAGTCTATGGGCAGAGTCTAGTTGGTGTGGTGTGGGCTAGTTTCACCCTAGGGCAAAGCAGGTACAGCAGCAGCAAAAAGTTACTATGACCTCATGTAAATGTCTGGGTCAGGACTTGAACCTAGGTCTCCCAGAGTTTGTAGCTTGAACTCCTGCCAACACTGCTAGTGTATAGTGAAGCTACTATCTAGATAGTCCATTGTTGAGACCCCCTGGCACTACTGAAAAAAAGTCTGACTTGTAAAATATGCTATTTATATACTAAACTAGAACCCTCTTAAACCAGTTCCAGTAATTATATTCTCAACAGTGCCATAGCTCAATAGAAACTTCAATATACACTATCCACAGGCCAGCTTCATGGGTTAGTTACTGTAGCAGTGTTAGGCTGCACAGTTGAAGTCCTGCTATGTCACAACAGGCTACTATCCAGCATCAATCACTGTGCTAAAAGACAGCTGCAGCTAGTCCTGCTAACACTGCCTGCAGTAAAACTACACTAGGGAACAGAGTAGCAGCCTTGTTAGTCTGTATCCGCAAAAAGAACAGGAGTACTTGTGGCACCTTAGAGACTAACAAATTTATTAGAGCATAAGCTTTCATGGGCTACAGCCGAAGGCCACTGTGACAGGTTGGCTCACAGAAACCCCCTTGGGAGCTGCCACCCGATGTGCAAAGACTACCTCTGCTCCTGTTTTCCCTGCCAGCTCAGGACTCCAGCACCCTGTCTTGCTGAGCCAGACACTCCCGTCTGCTCCCAAACAGACCCAGGGTCTGAATCCCTTGCCCCAAAGCTGCAAGTTTACCTGAAAACAGCTCGCAGAAGTGTGCTTGTCTTTAGCACTCAGATGCCCAACTCCCAATAGGGTCTAAACCCAAATAAATCCGAAGGAGTGGGCTGTAGCCCACGAAAGCTTATGCTCTAATAAATGTGTTAGTCTCTAAGGTGTCACAAGTACTCCTGTTCTTTTTACTAGGGAACAGTTGATTATGCTATGCCTGATGAGAGACAATATCTACTAAGCTGGCCTGTGGACAGTGGGCTAGCACATTCCTCCTCCCCACAGCACAGGTCTTCTCCAAAGGCTTAAGAAGAGTAGGAGGCCTGGGCCTCGCTGGCCCTGTGAATCATGTCCAACTCCAGAACCTGCCCACCATTCACCTACTCTGGATACCTCGCTTGGGGAGCGCCGCCAGCTGCATTTATACTGACGTCTCTCACCTCATTGGCCACTGTCAGAACCAATGAGAAGCGGCCCCGCCCCACGGAAGTTCTAATAAGAAGGGGGTGGCGCGCGCAGAAACGCCTGTGCTGGCGGGCACGTGGCTACGTTCTTAGTTGGGCGGGCGGCTTCCCTTTGCCAAGCAGCGGGGTCCGGAAGCTGCCGCAGCCCGCTCCAGCGCCCCCAGGGGGCTTGAGATGGGCGCTGTTTCCCGTCATACCCAGCAGCAGCCCAAGGAATAGAGCTCCCCGCCCGCCCGCGCCCGCACCCGCACAGACTCGGTGGCGTCAGAGGAGTTTTATTCTCAAATACAAAATACAGGTGGTTCGCTCAGACAGATGAGAGGCGGCCCCCTGGGCGGAGCTGCAGGAACTTGGGGTCCCCCCAATCCCACGTCATCCTAAGGACTGGGGCCCCGCCCTTCCCTTCTAAGTGCAGCTGCACGGGGGGGGGCTCGGACAACTGCCCACATCCCGAAATCCTCAGCCCCTGAGTCTTAGCTGCTCCCAAGGGACAGAAACCAGGGACCTGCGAGGGGATGCTCAGAGCCCCAGCTCCTACCCAACCCCGACTGGGGCGGTGAGTCAGATAGACGGGGGTCGGGAAAGGGCAGCTGCAGGAACAGACACTAGCCAGCCCTCCCCGCACACCTAAAGGGGGGGGGGGCGGGGCGGGGAGAGGAACACAAAAGATGGCAGCACCCAGGAAGTGGGATGAACCCAAGCCCCCTGTTCCCCATTCTGGCCTCTGACTCCCCTAGGGACCTGTCCTCCTTTCCCCCACCCACCACAATCTTTGGAGGAGCCAATTGCACAAACACCCCTTAAAGTGACTCAGCCCCCCCCCACCCCCAAATCTAAACTAGTCATCCAAACCCCCCTAAGCTTTTTCTGCCCATGCTTCCCCTTCATCCGGCTTGCTCTGAAGGGACGGTCTAGGGATTAATTTGCTTGGGTGGTGGCTTGCTTTAGCCTCACTCCCAGCTGGGGGGGGAGTAGGGGGGCTGTACTCTGAGACCACCCCAAGCACCCACCCCCAACATTTTTAGTTTAAAAATAGATAGAAATTTCTCTCTCAATAAAAAAAACTCTTCCCTTTCCTTCTCCCCCCACTCCAATCTTATCCAAGGGGTGCAATTCTAGCCCCTCCCTCACAGGGACTAAATGTGGGGTACTGTTCACCTCCCTCCCATGTGCTCCATTGCTCAATGGGGGTCCTGCCCCATTCCCCTACAGCAGGGGTATCAGATTAGCAATGGCTCTGGGAGATGGGGGAGACATTGATTGGGACATCACCTGGGTCTGGCCCCTTGTGCTGGGGCTCTCCCCCAGCATGCAGCCCTGAGGGGAGCTGGTGCCCTATGTTGCCTGCCTGCCTGCCCACTCTCCCCCCAAAAGAAAAGGATTAAAAGAAATAAAATATAGATCCAGTACACCCCCCCCCCTTTGGCTGGGCTAAGGTGACCCTACCGGTCTGACCTTCACTTCTCATTCCAGCCCCAGAGCCTGGCTGAAGGGACCTGCCCTCAGATCTTAAGGGGTGGTGGTGGCAGTACTCACAGAATCTCCATCCCCTGTAGGGAACAGCTTCCCCTTCCCCTGCAACAGTGGTGGGTGGGGTGGGGTGGGGCAACCCTGAACTGTCGTGGCAGAGATGGACCCTAGTCTGACCTGGAAGCCAAGGGGGGTATGTGTCTTAGAACAGCTCCACAGGCATGTGCATCCACCCCAGAGACACCTCCTTGCCCTATGGCCCCCACACCTGCCCCACAAAACACCACCCATAATCACCCCAGGGCTGCCCCACTTATCTGTCAACCCAAAGACCACCCCCACTTTAGCTCCTGGGGGACTTCACATTTCTGTCACACAGAGACAACCCCTTATGGCCCCCAGACATACACAGGGCAACCTCCAGGTTTAAATCAAAATGAAAAAAACAAAAACAAGATGAATGAAAAAACATGTCCACATGGGAGGGGGGGAGCAGAATGCCCCCAAAAGAGGCTCATCCCCCCCTAAAAAACCCCAAATGAGATACCCGCCCACATTCTCCCCCACAAGCAACAGAGACAATAAATAGCCCCCCCTCCCTGCCCCACAGGTGCTACGAGGGGGGGTTGTGGCGGCGGCCAGGTGGTTTGGGGCGGGGGGGCCGGGCGGGGAGTGCTGAGGAGGAGCCAGAGGAGGAGGAGGAGGAGGAACTGCGCCGGGCCTCGGCCCCCGTGCTCGACATCTTGAGCTTGCGGCGCTTGGCCAGGGGGGCGTTCTCCACGCTCTTCAGGAAGAAGCCCTCGCGCTTGCCCTTGTTGAAGGCCTGGGGGGCAAGATATTGGGGGTGGGGGATGGGATGAGACCCAGAGATTCACCCCCCCAAACTTCTCCCTGCCCTGGTCTGTTCTGTCCCCACCCCCACCCCCATATGGCCTATTCCCCATCCCCACCCAACCTATTCAGATGCTCAACTCTCCCTGCCTGACACTATCCTCCCCCAAAGCCTCAACCCATCCCCCCGCCCCTGCCTAAGAGCCAGTCCCAACATGAGGGAGACTCAGCCAGCCCCTCCACCCCCAACCAAGGCTGCTTCCTCCTCCACCACCACCCCAGCTCCCTCATGGCCATGCACCAGACCCTTCCCCCTCACCATGAAGGCGGCGTTGACCCCTGAGCGCACGGCAGGCCCTGAGGACTCCAGGATATCAGGGGTCATGAGCGGGGTGGAGGAGAGGGCGCTGCCGTCCTGCAGCCATTCGCTGTAGCGCAAAGTCGACATCTTCAGCCGCTTGGAAGGGTCCACGGTCAGCAGCCCTGGGGGTGGGGGAAGGGGAACACACCCATGGGTTAGTGATGGGGGGGGGGGGCATGAGCAGGATGGCACTTCACCAGCCCTTCCCCTGGGGGGGAGCAATACCCCAGCCCCACATACTGTCATAGTGATGGCCATATCTGTGGCCAGCTGCGATTGCCAGGAGTCCCAAGTTATGGCACAGCTCTTTCTAAGCAAGCACATTTATTCTAAAGGTGAAAGCATTACAGAGAAACCCTATGACAGTTCCTACACTCCTGCTAAAGGCTTCACAGAGAGCACCCACCCTGTCTAATGGGGGCCTCAGCAGGCTAAAGTCCTTCCAACCCTTCCCAGGAAGGACTGGGCCCCGCCCCGGCCAGAAGGGTCTGACCGTTTGCTGGATCGCAAAGCAGCTCCGAGTCAGTTTAAACTCAGGCTATTTATCCAAAAGTCTCCTCTTGGTCTGTTGGTCTCTGGAGAATCCCATCTGAACCGGTCTATGCAGCCTCTCCAGGGCGAGGGACCTCTCTGGGGTGAGTGAATTTGCCCCACCCCCGCTATTCTTTAATCCTGGAGGGCTGTGGTTCCCCCTCCCCCATGGAGTTACACAATCCCTGGCCCACAATGATACAGAAACTTAATACAAAGCTATTACAGGAAATTGCCAGATTCACACATGCCACCTCCCCCACCTCTTGGGAGCGAGGTTTCCCAAGCCCCACAGCACCCCTTACATTTGAGGTGGAGTGAGGGATACACCAGCCCCACAGATTCTCACTCCCCCAACTCTTGGAACAGAATCCTATATATTGACCCTTTATTTCATGCCCCCCCCTCACCTCTGACCAGCTCTTTGGCCTCCTCGGAGACCCCCCTCCAGGCCTCGCCCTCCAGTGAGAACTGCCCCTCCTTGATCTTGTGCATGATCTCAGCCGCATGGGTCAGCGCGCCGCCCTCCTGGCTGCTCTGGAAAGGCACCTGTCCGGACAGCATGGTATACTGGGGGGTGGGGCGAGAGACAGTGGAGTGGGGGTGTTACCAGACAGTCTGTGTGAAACTGACTCAGGGCAAATATCAGCAAGCTACCCTAAGGGGGTGATCCCCCAGCCCCCCAAATCCCCTCCCCCATAGGGAAGCCCTTCCCCTGGGAAGGGGGTGATCCCAGGCACCACCAACCCACATGCGTGGCGCAGAGCTGAGCATTTGCTTTTTCCATTCTAAGGGCTCAGAGAGGAACTGAGATTGTGGAAGTGGCTGAGACACCCCAGTACAGACATCTGCTTTCAGGCATTTCCCTTCCCCTTGCCCTGGAGTAGCCCCATCGGGCAACACACCCTCACTAACACCCCTCAAGGCCCAACAGCTCTTCAGGACACGGTACTGTTACTCCAGAGTCGGGGTGGGTTTAGGACTTGGCACTAACTGCCCCGGGCTTGGTACACCAGCTCTTGGAGTCAGGTGATTGCGGCAGAACGGCAACTTCTGTTATAAAAAAATCAGTTTCTAGGCATCATGGTTTGGGGGAAAAGCTGGAAAATGAGAGACACCAGCCCTGAGTCTGCAGAGAGCCTGAGCTGATTGCTGGGGGAGAGGAGGAGCTGTCTCAGTGTAACTGACACAGAGATGCCTGCCTGAGTCTGCCAAGAGCCTGAGCCCATCACTCTGAGAGAGGGGAGCTGCCCTGAGTATCCCAATGGGATGTTCAATCCCAGCTTTATCGCTCTGGGGGGCCCTGCCAACCCCACCCAGCAGGGCTGTGGACGTCTCACAGGACCACCCCTCCCCCCAAGCAAAGGAATTCCTCAGAAAAGCACAGAGGGGGCCTGCTTGCCGTTCCCAGGAGTGGTGGGAGAAGAGGGGGGCCTCCTGACAGCCCCACTCCATGTGTGGACAGGATTATAATTGTGGGCAGAGCCAAAGTCGAGCCTTGGGAGCCTGTTCTTTGACCCTAGTGGGAGGGGAGGATTAACCCTTTATTTCCTCCCCGCATCTCCCACCCTGACCCTGGAGTCAAACGCCAGACAGCAGGACATGCAACAAAGCTGTCAGCACTTCCCCTCCTCCCTGTAGGACTTCATGGGCTGGGGGGTGGGGGGAGCGCCACCGTGTGGTTACATTCTTCAGTCCTGCTGAAATCATTCACCTCTGGGGTGGAGCGCAGAGTGTTTATAAAGCAGCAGCAGGGAGACTGGGACTCTTCCAGAGCCCTGGGATCGTAATGCCCCCTCCCTGTAGGGATATGGGGTGCTCAATGCTGGCCTCCCCCCTATGCATACCAGGATGACACCGAGGCTCCAGAGGTCGCAGGACTCATCATAGCCCTCGTCGGTGAAGAGCTCAGGGGCGGCGTATTGCAGCGTGAAGCAAGGCGTCTGCATGGGCTGTGAGCCTGAGGGGCGCAGGCGGGCAAAGCCGAAGTCAATCACTTTCACTGGGGCACCCTCTGACTCGTCAGCATATAGGATGTTCTGGGGAACAGCGGGAGGATGGAGCCTTGAGCTCCTGGGGCACAGCACCTGCCCCCAGGGCCCGCACCCCAAAACCCCAGCATCCCAATCGCCCAGGCCCCACACCCCTATCCCAAATCTCCCAAGCACCACACCACAAAACCCAAGGCACTACACCCCAATTCCATGGTCCTCCAGGCCCTGCATCCCAGTCCCCCAAGGCCCTGATCCCCCAACATTTTACCCTAGTCATGCACCCAATCTCCTGAGGCCCTGCCCCACAAACCTATTCCCATTCCCCATACCTCAGGTTTGAGGTCCCGGTGCACCACGCCAACGTCGTGCATGAAGCTGACAGCTGACACCAGGCTGCGCATGATCTGACTGGCCTCCGACTCACTGAAATGCTGCTTCTTCTTGATGCGGTCAAAGAGCTCACCCCCCCGCAGCAGCTCCATCACCAGGTACGTGTGGTACTGCCCGGGGAGAAGGGAGGGGGGTCACTGAGCAGAGGGGGATCCCACAACACAGAGACACTGCCCTCACTAAGATGCAGCTGCTTTGGGTGGGGTACAGGGGCTAGTTTCACAGGGATCCCTCGCCCAGCACTGAGATGCATGCAGCCACCTCCGGGGTGGGGCATGGGGGCTGTTGATGCCCGGGGAAGAAGGGGCATGCTAGTCCCAGGGGGTGCTGAGGGGGAGGGGGGTACCTGGTCGTGATGCACCTCGTGTAGTTTGACGATGTTGGGGTGAGACTCACACAGCTGCAAAGCCATCACCTCCCTCTGGGTGTTCACCTCCATCCTGGGGGGAGGGAGATGTTAGCTGAGGCTCCGGAGAACTGCACTGTGGGATGGGGGAAGGGAAGGACAAGGGGGAGGTAGTGGGGGGGGGGGAAGAGGAATGGGACAGCAAGGGGGTGGGAGGAGTGGTCAGGGGAAGGGAAATGAGGGGAGGGGAGGGAAGGCAGCAGGAGAGGGCATGGGGTGGGGGGGGAGTCTGGTCGCTGAAGGTGAGAATCTGGAGGTGGTGGGAGGGTCCCATAAAGGGTGATGGAGGACAATGGTGAGCCTGGGGGTCAGTGATGGTGGGGGGAAAAGTTCGGAGTGAGGGGGGCCCCATGTAATCCCAGGGATGAGTCTGAGGAGGCACCTGTGGGAGGTCGGGGAAGCACCTGGAGAGTTGTTATAGGAGCAGGAGTGGGGGTGTTCCCATGGGAGCAGGGGGTTGGTTGCTATAGCAGCTGGAGCATGGGGGGGTTGCCGGGGAAGCACCCCCACCTCTTGCTGATGATCTTGACGGCGAATTCGGTGCCACCCTGGCGCTGCTGACATCGGCGACACACCGAGAAGCTGCCCTCACCCAGCGCTGCCTCCTTCAGGTCCATGTCATAGAGCTGGAAGAATGAAGAGTCCTGGGGGAGGAAGGGGGGAGCATCAGCGGTGCTCACTGCTGGGGAGGGATCCCCCTCCCCCACAGGGACCCCCTGATGAGGAATCCCGCTAAGGCCCCTCCCTCACCCATTACCCAGCCACTCCCGCCAAGCCCCGGTCACTCAGGGGGCTCCCCTACCTTCATCATGGCGCTGCGTGCCACGGCAGCACTGCCCGGGCGCTCCCCGCTCAGCGCCAGCTCCAGCACATCTGTGGTGACGGCGTTGTGGTTGAACAGGATGGAGGGAGCGATGAAGGAGTAGCCCTGAAAGAGGGCAGGAGGGAGGGATAAGACTGGGGCGTGGCGGGGAGCCTGCAGACATCTCCATGGCTACAGCACCCAATGGAGACTCCCCCCACCCTCCCCCATGGGTCTTGTGGGTGCAGGAGATTCCCCACACACACACCAGAGAGCCCCCCCCCACTCTTGTAAGTGAGAGCAGGGGATTCAAGAACCAGTGTCCTCTCCCAGGGCACAGAGCTCAGCCACCACACGCACGAGGCTGGCGGGGGGAGGGGATAGCAGGGCAGGGGTCTCACCTGGAAGATGTGGTCCAGGTTGCGGGGAGGGTCCAGTGGAAAAGTACACCCGAAGGGGGGGTTGGGGGAATCTCGAGGGGGGTCTCACTGGGAAGATGCAGTCCAGGTTGGGAGGGTTCCAGCAGGCGAGTGCACAGGAAGCTGGGTGTTGCTGGAGGACCCCAGCCGGGGGCGGGGGGGGGGGGTCTCTCCCCGGGAAGACGCGGTCCGGGTGGGGGGGGGTCCCAGCGGGCGAGTACACAGGCTCCAGGCGGGTGAACTCCTCGGCAAAGTTGCGCACGTCCAGCTCACTGCGGACGATGGGTTTGAACGGAGCCTTCACCCGCCGCGCGGCCAATTCCACCCAGTCCAGGCCCTAGGGGAACACGAGGGTCAGCGTGCGGGGGAGGTGAGTGGGGAAAGGGGTCTAATGCGGGGAAGGGTCCAGCACAGGGCCAGAGCCTAGCCGGGGGGGCCGGGGGGCACTGGGTCTCACTCCCCCAAGGCCACCTCTAAGATTTGGGGCACTGGCCATGCCCGCGGTGAGCTGTGTGTGTGGGGAGTGGGCCTGCCCAGGCTGGGGGGGAGAAGCATTGCTGTGGGGGCTGCATGTTGTGGGGGGAGACCTGCCAGGGGGTACTGGAGGGCACCTTGGCTGGGGTGCACACGAGGCTCTTTCCCAGGTATGTGAGGGCTGTGTGGGGATCCCTGGCCAACATAAGGGATGGGGGGGACGTGGCCAGGGGGCCCTGGTGACAGGGGCAGTAGGTGAGGGGGCTGTATGTGGGGCCTCTCCTGGGGCAAGGGGGTAAACGTGAGAGGGTCCCTGCATGGGATGTAGGAGCTGTGGGGGGGAGGCCAGGATCCCTACCTGAGGGGGCTGCACTGGGGGACCCTGCTGGGAAAGGGAGTTGTGCCCAGGCTGTGGGGAGCCATGCTGAGGGTCTCGAGCCAGTGGGCTGTGGCCAGGGTGGGGGTGTCCCTCTCCCCCCTACCCGCTCACCTTGAAGAAGGGGTGCTCCTTGATGTCCTGCGCCCCATTGGGCCCCGAGCCCAGGCGTTTCTTGGGGTCCTTGCACAGTAGCTTCTGCAGCAGGTCGCGGGCCACGGGGCCAATCACAGTTGGGAACGGGGGCTGGCACTTGAGGATGCGTCTGTGGCACAGACAGCTCCGTTACCCAGCGGCCCCTGCCAATCCCCCACCCCGCCCCACATTACTCAGCAGCCCCTGCCAATCCCCCTCTCCCCCCATTACCCAGCAGTCTCTGCCAATCCCCCCTCCCCATTACCCAACTGCCCCTGCCAATCCCCACCTTGCTGTTACCCAGCAGTCCCTGCCAATCCCCCCACCATGCCCCCCATTACCCAACTGCCCCGCCAGTACCCCCTCCCCACCCCCAATTACCCAGCTGCCCCTGCCAATCCCCCCTCCCCACCCCGTTACCCAGCTGCCCCTGCCAATCCCCCTCCCCACCCCCTGTTACCCAGCAGCCTCTCCAATCCCCCCTCCCCATTATCCCACTGGCTCCTGCCAATCCCCCTCCCTGCCCACAGTTACCCAGCAGCCCCCTCACCTGGACACTTCGGCCTGCGTGTTCTTCTCCCCCTCCAGGGTAAAGGGCGAAGCCCCCGTCAGCAGCTCAAACATCAGGATCCCCAGGCTCCACCAGTCGACGGACTGTGTG